TATATAATTAAATAATAATTCTACAAATCCAGAGTATAATTTAAGATTATTAAATATCATTAAGTATTTTAATAGTTAAGTATCAAAACTAGGAACCTCAAACCAAAGTTTACTAATATAAAGAGAAGCAGACAGGGATATTAAAATATAATATCTGTATCTTTCCAAATGTAATGCAGATCTTGCAGTTTCTTTTACTGCCCCAGATCTCTATTAATTTCTTCTTCTCATTTTCTTTCAACTTCTATTCTTCTTCCTCTTTCTTCTGCACCCTCACTCTTTGTGTGAAAAGTAATTTGTGCTAACTTCGCCATTTTAATTGCTATCATATGACTGCCTCCTTCAAGAGAGCCAAGTGGAACTCTGGGAATGCAGACTAGAACGTGGCACTGTGTGCTGTTCTCAGCCTGTGTTTGGAAATATCTAACAATAAGAGTATAAATTTTTTGACAGCTTCCCGATTTAGAGTAGAACATTTGGCTATCCAGGAAAGTTACAGTTTAAGAAAGAAACTGCTCTCTGACTACCCACAAAGAGGTACATAGCAACCTTTTGAAATTAAAATGGCACTGAGAGAGGTGACTTATGATTGGTCCTCATACTTATGTCCATTGCAGCATCCCCTTGGTCATGTGATCAAAATTCAGATGCTTGGCAACTAGCATGTATTTATGGTGATCACAGTGTTTTGGGGTCATGTAATCACCATTTGTTATCTTTTCAGCCAGCTTCTGATGAACAAAGCTAATAGGGAAAGGTGGATTCACTTAACCACATGATTCATTTAACAACTGTAATGATTCGCTTGACAACCATGGCAAAAAGGTCATAAAATCAGGTGAAAATCACTGAACAAAGTTCTGCCTTGCTTAGCAACAGAAATTCTGGTCCCAAATGTGGTTTAAATCGAGTACTATCTATACTGCTTTCCAAAATATTCACCAGGAATATAGAAAATGAGGACTAAATTGTTAAGTAGCTTTACAGTTGATTATGCATTGTTCCAGCACCATATTGAATATTTCAGATAGAGTTCAGGCATGCTTCTAAGACAGATCACTCCTAAGAGCCACCTTGCTGCAGAACCTGACCCATGCTGAGCAAAGAAAACTGGAAGATGCAGAGCTGGTCATGTTACCAAAACCCCCTAAATTCCAGTGTAGCAATCAAGAAGACAACGCCAACAAAATATGCTGAGGTAGATTTTTAAAACCATGACTGAGTAAAGTAATAATTATGGTCAACTTCACACATAAAATTTGTTTAACAAAAAAACAAAAATACAGTTATATCTGTCTGGCCCAAAATCAAGAATGACACATGATAGTTTTATTCAAGCTAAATTCTTTATTGTTTCATACCTGTAGGCAAAATCTTACCAGACTTAGTATCTGGTGTCTGAGAATTATTGGAGAGGGGATGTTTTCACTCTCTTTTTATCACTCATAATATCTGAACTGAGTTGCCTTTTACTTGTCTGAAATGCACCCCCTGACTCCTGGAAATCCACCTCTTTACTACATTTCATAACCTTATCCAACATTACACTAGAAGTACAAGAGCTGACACTAGCTGTATACCAACAATATACCATTAATAACTTTCAGCCCAAACCACCTCATAGGTTGTTTTTGTGAAGAAAAAGGTAAGAAGAACATTATGTATGCCTCTTTGAGTTATACAAAATGAAAGCAAGAGAGAATTGTAATAATAAATAGGCAACTGGGCTTATAGAATCAAACTGTCTTGTGGAATTGATTTCAAAGTACTAGGCCCTTGAAATGGTTCTCAAGGATGAAGTAGGTTGCAAGGGTTAGAGGTTACTAGAAAGGCAGCAGAAGCTTCTACAGGAAAGTCATAAATGAAACTAGCAATGGTAGAATTATGTATATAATCTGTGATCAAAGCATTTTATCTTCAAATTCCGTTGGAGATAAAAAGAAATAAAGGGGAAAAAAATCTCATCTTGGCAAGTTTTTAAGATACATTTTAAAATCTTGGACCTAGAAAAACTAAGCAGTGGATTTTGCTTACAACTGCTAGAATCAGTATAGTGTGAATTTTTGAACTAGTAGACATATTTGGAATCTAATAAATTTATCTATTCACTTAGTTACTACTTTGTTTTCTTTGCCACTCCAGTCATGAGGCTCTTGTGTGACATTAGGCACTGAAATAAAATGCCAATGGAAGGATGTCACTGTGCATGTGACTTGTTTCAAAACACCAGGTATGAGAAAGCAAACTTGTGAGTGTATTTTTCTTCAACCTATCCAGCTTCTTAAGAGTGTGCTCTACTACCCAGATTGATGGATCTGAAACAAACAAACAAAATCTATTCTTCCACAAGTACACAGTAATAACGTTATGATTTGGCCTTAATTAAATGACAACCAGGCTACCAATTATATCTGAGTGTATTCAAAGAAGAAAATAGAAATGGTAAAAAAGAATCATAAGAGAACATATGAAAAAGTTCAGCAGTAACAAATCTCAAGCCTGAGCATATCTTTATATAAAGATAAGGGAAACCCCTCAATGAGAAAAGGAATCAAAGCATAATTGAAGAATTAAAATAAATAAAAACTGGAATACTTAATAACAAGTTGTTTAGAATATAAACTAAAGTGCAATTATAACACAAAGCTCACCAATTTAAAAAGTAGCCAGGAAAAAAAAAAAACATTTGTTTCAAATAGGGAAGCAATGATCACATCTAATTTAGAAATCTGGTTTCAAGACAATAAATGGTAGAAGATCCATTATAACTACACACACACACATACACACACACACACACACACACACAAATATTAGGACAATTATGGGTGCCTGCCATCTTAAAGTTAAAGAAAAGGCAAAATAACCCACAGGAAAGAAGTGCACTGTGTTTAGTGTTCTGTCTATCAAAGCAAATACAGTATTCCAATTTGTGGGATACATGTTAAATGCATGTAAAATGTTTGTTTCAAAGCAAATTTACAAGATGAAACGTAACTTTACCAATCTTACACAAGATATAACAATATTATCAACTGTAAGAGAAAGATGAGAAAAGGGTATGTACTGACTATAAGAAAAGAAACTATCTATTGTAAGGTTTTCCACTTAACCTCCCAATTGCCCCAGCATTACTCAGGAATTTAAAAGAGCCAAAGAAACTCCTGAGCCAAACAACTTTTATTTTGATCAAAACAGAGTTGGGAGACCCCATCTCTCTTCGTGGCTGGTAGAGAGATGAAGGCAACAACCAGAAAAGATGTCTTCCACCTTTTATACCTTTTCAGAACAAAGAGATCAGGTCTTGGTACTAGGCATAAGATGGCACAAAAAAATAATTCCCAGATCATGACTCATACACAGCAACCCAGGCTCCATCCGTAACTCCTTTTCCCCCTCCCCTTACTGTGCTCTTTTCATATAAGCAATCACCTATACCTAAAGCATGAAGCCCTTACTTTTCCAATATATATAAAGTATCTGATCAAGCAATTAACTACAAAATAATGATTACAAAATAACACTATATGTATCAATATAAAATGGTTACTATATAGAAAATAAATGCTAATGTCAAACTTAAACATACTAAAATCATAAGCACAATAAAATCCTTTCACTATAAAATGTACCTAGGGAGCTAGGAGACTCATAAATGTATCTGAATCAGGCAAGCTGCTTCATAATTTTGAATACTTATATATTCAAATATCTAAAGGATTAATCTGAGAAATAAAGATTCTAAATGGCAAATTCAGAAAATATGACACACCAAAACATTAACTGTTTATAAATAGAATCAAAACCTAGAAGCCTAGAAGTTATTTCATGATTTTTAAAGAAATCTTAAGATTATTTATTCTTCCTTTCTTCAAACTAAATAGCCATCAATTCAAATGGGACAGTCTAAAAAGCCAGTAAAATCTCAGATGTTAAAAGAAAGTAAAGACAGGCAATCTCACCAATAATATATTTCACAAACTTCCCAAAAGCTTTTTTTTTTTTTTTTTTTTAAAGAAGACTATGTATGTTTTAAGACAAATCCAGGCAGGACAAGAAGGTCCCAAAATACTGTGGGAGATCAAATTTCATCAACAGATGCAATTTATGGACAAGGAAGCCATGAAAAGTGAAAGAACCACAGGTGACATTAGAGTGGCAAACATAGTAATTAGATACACAGGTACGACTATCCTACAGTAATGTCCATTTCCTCAGATACATCCAATTTTATACTTAGTTCGGAAAAATATAAAGAATATTTATACAATATATATTCAATTTATAAAGAGACGGAAAAGAGCTACACATTTTGAAACAGAATTTCACTTTGGATTTTCACTTCCTTTGGCAAGGCTTCTTGAAGACCTCTTCCAACCTTGATTAGCGCATCACATGATGCTCGGTCTAAACCACGAAAGTTTATGCCGCAGTACAGCTCTTAGTCTTAAGGTGCCCGGACAATCTTTCCATATTTGAGTAAGTTAAGCAATTGTTTCGCTCCTGGGAGGGGAGCGCGAAGTCCGTGGAAAACAAGCAGCAAGCGAGAGCAAACGTCTGCGAGGGGCCGGAGCAAAATCCCGCACAATCCCTGGTGGGGAAAGGCACGCGCACCCTCCCGCCGCAGTGCGAGGTCCTCTTCTCCGTCCGAACGCTGGCTCACCCTTACCTTGCGGGCAGCAGCTAGGCGCTTGTTTGGCTCGCCTGCCTGCTACGTCTCGCCTTTCGCGGATAAGTCCAGAAGCAGCTCGCCTCCAACCCGAAGAAGCGACCGGGAAGGGGCCGCGCAAACCTGTTGCAAGGGGCAGGAGGTGCTTGGACACGGCGCAGTCACTGAGCACCAGAACCGCCAGTGGTTTGTCAGGCCGTCCCGACTACATGTCCCGAGATGCATCACGGCTCCATCCGAGACGCTGCCTTTTGGAACTACACAACCCAAGAGGACTCGCGGTCAAAGAAAGCCGCGAGTCGGCGTATTCGGGTTAAAGTCTGACAGCTAAAGTCGCACCTCTTTCTCCTCCTACTTTTCCTTCGGGTAGAGCCGGCTGCTGGGATTTGCAGTTCTGTGGGCGGAGCAAATTTGCGCGAAAGGTATAAAAAGGTAAGGCTGGGTTCAAATTAAACTCGATTCTTGCGTCTCAGGTCCTCGACCTCTGCTGAGAAACCTTCAGCTAGGAATAGCAAATTCCTTCGACACAGGAACACAGAATGTGGACTGGAGAGTTAGGATGGAACAGAAAAGAGGGTCTTTGCCTTATTCAGGAGGAATAAAATAAAGATCTTAATGCACAATAGAACAGAGATGACTTTGATTTGAAACACAATTTTGCTTTCAAAGTTGTATTTCAAATAAATTCTTCCAGTCATTCAGGTTTTGGAATACATATGTGTGTGGCACAAATATATAATCTTTTGTAAACTTTTGATTCCAGTCTGCAATAGTCTTGTATCTAAACAGTACAAGATTTACAACCATTCATTTAGTGTCTGTTCAAAGTTATGATGACACTGAAAAAAGTGACTTATGACCATTTTCCATACTTAATGAACATTGCAGCATTCCCATAGTTATGTGATCAAAATTCAGATGCTTGGCAACTGGTTCATATTTATGACAGTTGCGGTGTCCCGGGATCATATAATTCACCTTTTGTGACAAAGTCAGTGGGGAATCCAGATTCAATTTACAACAATGTTACTAATTTAATAATTGCATAGATTCACTTAATAACTGTGGCAAAAGGTCATAAAATGGGGCAAAACTTGTTTAACAACTGTCTTACTTAGCAATAGCAATGTTGAGCTCAATTGTGGTCATAAATCGAGGACTACCTGGATGAAATCACTTCATAGGACTTTGACTTCTTGGTAAGCAATAGTCTTTTATAGCAATAGTCTTTGCTTCTGATTCAAAGAAAGGGGGGGAAAGCATATTAATTTGTTTGTGAAGAACGGGCCTTATTGATTTATTGTTCAATAATTCAAAATTAGGCGTTTTACAATGAAAGAGAATATATATGTCTTAGACCTGGACAGTGGAGATCTGGGTGTTCTCTGAGCCTGGTTGTTCAGTTGCAGACTTTTAATTACCCAACTAGGTAACATCATCAATGTTAGATAGCTGATGACAGGGCTTTTTTTGTTATGGAACGCCCAGAACGGAGTTCTGGCACCTTTTTTGGACGGAACCTTGTAGGGTAGGCAAGGCGGGTTGTATGACGTGTGTGGGTTCTGGCACTTGTTTTTTTTTTTTTACAAAAAAAGCACTGACTGATGATATTATTTAGTTGGACAATGAAATATCTGTGAGCAAACCTAGCTCAGAGAGCACCTAGAACTCCACAGTTATATTTCTAGGGAAAGTAGGCAGGCTTTTTTGTGTGGTGACTGTGCTCTAGGGCAGTATTTTTCAATCATAGTAACTTTAAGATGTATGAATTTCAACTTACAGAATTCTCCAGACAACAAGCTTAATTCTGGCATATTTTGTTGCAAGTTGCCAATAAATGATCAGAATAGGAATGACAGAAGCATCCCAGACTAAAAGAAAGCATATAATTCTTTTTCTAGATTTTCTAGTTTCTTGGGTGTCAGTTGTACAGTTGTACAGTACTATCAAACATTTTAACTGTCTATTTTTAAAAATTCATAAAAATATAATGTGTATTTTTGCTAGTGGTTTTTCTCAGAAGTAGTTGCATCGAGAATTGTTTTACTAGATTTGTTAATAAACAGTAAACAGAGAAAGAGAATGGAAGATTAAATACAATAATCTTTTTTTAGAAAACAAAATGAAGCCCTCTGGTGGCCACATAATGTATTTTACAATTATCATGAACATTATGCAAATAATCAGTTCAAATTTGTAAAGTTCTATCCACAAATGGGCAATGCTTTTTCAAGTGTCTATATCTATTTTAGAGGTTTAAATTTATGGTTCCTGTTACATATTTTCCTTTTTAACAGATTTTCTGTGGTGAAGAAAAAGTAAAGGAAGTGAGGAACATAGGAGTTGTGCATGGTATAAATTGTGGACACACTGTACCACATATACATTGTTTGGAAACACAGATATTTAGGAATAAAATCCCTAATATTCAGTAGAACATAATTAGCCTAATCAAAATGCCAATTAAGTTCATAATGCAAGGTATAAAGACAATTAATTGAGGGTAGATAGAGATGTTTTTCTTCTGACCTCACCAGGTTACCCATAAGAAATGGGTATTTACAGGATCTGCATTTAGCATAGTGGACATTTAATAAAGTTTTCACTCTGTGACAGCTATGTTGTGATACTTCCCGTAGAAGTTCCCCAAAATGTTAAATAGTAGACCTCAGTATGGCATAAATACTAGGTCTCTACATCTTTTAAAAATTATGCATAAAATACTGTATATTAGATAGAACACATCTATCTGAAGAATTAAAGCAAATGTGTACCTTGGAAGACTCATGTATGTTTCGGAGCTATCTCTCATCTATACATGTATGATCGTGCACATGGAGAAAGCCAGGACATTCTTTGAAGCAATCATGTGAAACCTGCAGAGGACATTGCTCTCTTAACATTTTAAAGAAAGATGTTCTGTTTATGCTAACATACTTTCGAAAGGACTTAATTTGAATGCACATCCATAATGTTTATTATTTAATTATATAATTCTACCATTATGCAAAACAAGCCATGTGCAGTAGGCATACTGTAGATGCTGAAAAGAGACGGCAAAACAGCAAGCTTGAGAGATGGTCTATTTTGCACAACCCAAATTATCTTGCTTCAATACAATCATGGATGGTTCACTGTATATGTTCATGATCAAAAAACTATTAAAGACATGGGTATTTTACCAGATTGTGGAACAGGGTGAAAGTTGAGTCCCTGATGGTCGGCTCCCCCTCTCCCATCTTTTTGATTATGTGGAGGGGGGGGGGCATTCAGGATCTCAGTTTTTCTTTTACATTTTTTAAAATTGTAAGTTGCCCAGAGTTGTTGGATAAATAAGTAATCATCCTTTTGCAAACAATATTCTGCTATTAGTCCAGTAGCTTTTCAATATGGAGAGCAAGTATAATTTTGTTCATGTAAAATAGCTTGGGGCAACATATTTAGCAAATACAGGGGATCATTATCCTATAACCTAGGAATAGTGAATAAGGAAGTCCACAGGCACAATCATACTAAATTATAAAGACAGCAGAGAAGCTATGAAAACCTAATAAATATTTAAAGTTTTTGTTGATATTTTGCAGTATCAAAAATAATATAAACAAAGCATGACTGTATTAAGAGAATTAAAACTTGAACAGGAATGTAATTCTTCTGGATATCAGTTTTATTTGAAAACTGTTAAAACTGGTATTTCAGCCCTTTGGTTTATTTCCAGAGTTCATACAACAGTATCTTTATTAGGTAAGTCTGGATTGAATGAATATGTTGCATATTGAAATGCAGATGAGAAAGTCTTTGCACTCAATTTATCTCCAGAAATACTCTATTTAAATTCATTGCTGCATGCTACACATGTCTTTTACAAAAAAAGATAGATGTATGAACTTTTTCTTTGGGATTTAAGTAAGCCTGTATGTTAAAGATGCTGGTGTCTATCAACTGTATTAAAAGCAAATAATTATCTGACAAACATACAAAGATGCCTTTATAGAAGAAGTTAGGGAGAGAGATAAGAGAATTGTCTGCAGTACAAGATTGCAGCAATCTTGTAGACAGAGAATTCAGGCTGAGTGGCAGATAAGATTGGACAGCATGAAGCAAAGAAGAAATAAAATTGTATGGATTTCTGATATATTATGACATAATCTATAGGCAATTTTCATTTTCTGCATTTCACTTCCCCTTGTATATGTCTTTTCAAGCCTCCTCTCCATTTCCCTTTTTTTATTCTCCCAAAGCCAAGAATGAATACATAATATTCTTTTTCTTGGATATATCCTGTGGAATTGATGAAGTGGTTGTTTTCCATGAAAGTTTATTTCATTTAAAAAATGTTTGCTTTTAATGTGATACCAGATTCTTTGTTGTTTTTGATGACAACAGACCAATAGGGCTATTCCTTCTGAAACTGTTATTTCAGTGCAAAATTAGAAATGAGAGTACAGTAGACCCATCCTATAGATCAGTGATGGCGAACCTTTTAGAGACCGAGTGCCCAAAAACCACCCCCTGTCCCGGCTCCGCCTCTTGCCCTGCCTGCTCCACCCCGCCCGCCCCCTGCCGCAGTAGATCTCCCAGGCAGCCCTGCAGTGCATGGCAGCCACACCCTCTGCCCATACCCCGCAGCATCATCTGCACGCTATGGGACATGAGGGCGGAGTCTTGTCCCTGCTGCCTGCTATGTCCTTGGCTGCGCTGCTCCATGCGGGCTGTGCCTGGGGGTGACTCCATGGGGGCTGCTGGGGAGAAGTGAGGATGGGACAACGGCACATGTGCCCACAGAGAGGTCTCCGAGTGCCGCCTCTGGCACGCCACCACTGCTATAGATAGATGTTTAAATAAAAACAAAGGATTAGGGGGAAGGTTTTCATATGGGAAAATTATTAATATATTTATCTATTTCCTGAATATTTAATTCATATGTCAATTGGGATGGCTCTGCCCGCAAAGATGTTGCTACTGGTATTTGGAACATAACTCGATGCAATGGCCTAGTGGAAGAAATTTAACAAGAAATGTAGACTAATTAATTTTTTATCAGAAAATTTTTCCTATTTAAAAAAACTTGTGCCTTAGCCTCAGTATGCATGTACTCTTGTTTCCATTCTTTATTTCGCAATACTGTTCTGTATGCTGTTTGAGTAATTTGAAAGGAGTGATGAGCAATCACTGATAACTTATTTCTTCAGAGGTTTTTAGTAATTTCAGACATGGAATTTTTTCATTATTTTCCAGTTTATAACTGTTAGCATAATTTTAGAGGCAGAATTCATTTCTTTGATGTATAATAATTTGTTGCAGAAGGGAGAATTTTCATTTTGCTATATCAAGCCTAAATTAGATTTGATGAGCTCCATGTCAAAAAGAAATGGCAAGGAATTATATATGCTTTCTCTTTTGAATATGTATCTTGCATTGAAGCTACAGTG